CGAAATTTCGAACCTAATTACAAGTATTTCGGTTTCGGTCGATTTTTATTCGGTTCGGTTCGGTAAAACCGAACCTAATGCCCACCCCTAGAGAAAAGGAAGAGGCTTGACTACTCTGAGGGTTGGAAGTGATTTAATTAGCTAGTGCAAAGTGTTCTTCAGGTTTCCCATCTTTATGTGTTGGAAGTGATTTAATTAGTTGTCATGATAATTGAAGAACTAGAGATAAGATAGCTTTTAGATCTGGAAAAGAAAGTGGATAGATCCTTATTTTGTTTGAGTAGGTCGATTTATGGGTCGGTCGGTTCAAGAGTTGGGTTGGAGTGGGTAAGGTGGCATGGCGAGTGTTATTGATGTAACGGGTCGGGTTTCATCAATTTTGAGTTAAATGAGGCTGACTAGACGATTCCATCTGCCACGTCAGCACATAACTATCTCAATTAACATAGACGGACAAAGACTAACGGAGAGTGCCCAAACTTGGACTGTTTTACTAAATTTAGTGATAACGACTGAAATTAAATATTTTCAGTGACTAAAAATGAACGTATTTTGTAATCGTAGTGACCAGAGAAAGAATTATCCCAGTTTGGCCACTTCGCAAAAACATACAAGTACAACCTACCTTGAAAACAGAATATAGCCCATTCCTTTAACCCGAACGAACTCGTACTTACAACTACAAAGCTAAGCAAGTAAGCTGACGGTCTTCTTCAGCTTCTCCTTCAAACCAAAGCCCGTGTTGCTATGGTCAGAATAGCGATTTACAATTGTGACTATGTTAATAAACCATGAACCAGAAACAGACCGCAAACTTCATCTCACTGTGAGCTTACAGAAAGAAGCCTTCGACTTCACGTCCTGACAATGTCTCCCTGTATACATTGAGTGCCTCCTCCATCACATGTGCTTGTGCCAGCAACCGTGACCTTTTCTTCCCAGATGGATGAGTAGAAAGATAGTTTCTCAATGCTGATTCCCCGCTGATCTTCCCCAGTTTCTCGTATACACTTGGCGCAATACGGGGATCGTATCCAGCAGAGGCCATCAACAGTAGACCTATGTAATCAGCTTCGATCTCCATCCTGACAAAAGAACAAAAAAGATATTCAGTTTCTTATCCTTGATTTACCAGTAAGGTGAGAGGCTAGCAGTCAAGCTTTTATATTCATCCGGACTCCAGAGATACACTGATTGAAATCGACCTGACTTCACTATCAGGTACCGACTCCAAATTCCACAGGAAGGGCAGTTGGGTAAGGAAAAACAGGTCCAATGCTTTTTACAAAGATGGATCATCTATGACAGAACTGGAAAGGTCAAGAATGAGCATGCACATGAACATGATAATGTTCAGAATGAAGGCTTAGCTCTTCCTAACCTAAATGAATTGAAAGACTACTATGAGAACACTGAACACATGAACATGAGATGATGTGGGGACTTGCAGAAAAACAAACACAGTCACTCTCTTCACAGAAAGGTATATATATATCTGTCAGCAAAGGGGACTAATCACTAATGGAAACCTCCAAATGCATCACATGGGTCCAATTGGCAACTCGTTTTTGCTTCTAGGGTTATCGGCATTGCATTAACAGTCAGGACCAAGAAACCAAATCATCATTCAACCCCAACAAAGCAATCAAACGTACTTTCGAGAAAATGGAAGCCTCAAGAAAAGAGTGGACATTGTGTTGGCGAGATCCGCCGCAATGAACTGGAAAAGAATAATTTGCACAATTGCAACCCACAAATTCTTAGTGATTCCCTCTGCTGAATGTCTCGCCACAGCATGCCCAACCTAACAGTAAAAGGGAGCACACACTTGATGATCACCAGTCGGAACAACTAAAGAAACACAATCAAAGGAGCATCTTCTGTGAAAGAATGAACGAATCACCTCGTGGCCGATAATGGTGGCTATCTCAGCATCAGTTGAGAAATGCTTAAGCAAACCGGTGAAAACAACAATCTTTCCACCCGGTAAACAGAAAGCATTGACGACAGGCTGATCAACAACCACGACCTCCCAGTTTAGTCCATCCAAATGCGATGTTCCAGCTTTCCTTCCCTTCTTTCTTGTCTTTTCGACCCACTTATCATCAAGAATCTCGTCCTGTTTCCCCCAATCAGTCTCTGGCTTCCCTTCATCCTCACTCAACATCTTATGCGTCTCCCTAGCACGCCCACTATCCGCTGCAGCAGCATCAGTACCATCGGCGGTGGAAGCATAGTCCAGCTCTTTCCACCCTTGCTCATGACTCACCCCTCTTTGCAAAGCCTCGATTATATCTTTAGCAATCAGACGAACTCTCACACTATCAGGGTGAATTGCAGGCAAGATCCTCCCCCTGAACGAGCCTTTGAGTTCTTGAAACTGAGACTCCCCCATCTTCTTCTCCATATTGCTGCTCAACAGCACGAAATGCTTTCTCTTCGTGTAGGGCACAGTCTCGAGGTTACCAAAAAACACAGTGATCACTACGCCGGAGCTCACCAGAACGACTATCAAAACATTCCTCGGATTCCGGAACCACCGCCGATATCCCCGAGGTTTGAAATGCTGGGCGCGGCGGGGATCGACATAGTAGAACCTCCTAGCCCCACCGCCGAAAGGATTGTTGTTCGGAATCACGACTCCTCGCCTTGCGACGGAGGATTGAAGTGTTCTCGATCCTAAACCTAAGCCGAATCGTTCAGAGAGGGAAGAGTAAGGATGCGAGGCGGAAAACTTAACTGGATTCGAAGCAACAATGGAAGAGGCGGTGCGGTGAATTGGGGAAACTGATTCTTGAATTGACGGCAGCCGGTGGGCGGCGGCGGTTGTCTTGGAAGAGAAACTACGGAAGGCGTCGAGAGCGAGCTTCGCCCGGCGGTAACTTGCCATGATTTGCCGGCGACGGTGACACAGCTGCCGGAGAGGAAAGACGGACTAAAACGGCGAGAGTGTCATCGAGAAATTTGGAGGGATGGCGGTTGAGAATTGAGACGCTTCCTGTTCCTGAAGCTTCTGTGATAGCGTGGAAGGCAAGTTTGGAATGAAGAGAAAAAAGGCTGCCCGTGTGGGTTGTTGTGGCCGTCTTGATTCAGTGCCGGTCGGTCGGTGTACAAGTATTGAGAAATGACAGCATAAATGGCGTTCTTTCACGAAAAGCTGACTCAGGTACAGCAGCCTACTAACTGCATAGTATACTAACTAATATTCAAAATGTATAAACTAGTATCCAAATCTGTTGATTTTACTAAAGTATCTAGATAGCACAAATTAATCCTGTTAACCCTGTTATGTAATTTAAATATGTTTTAATTAATTTAGTTTGTTCATTAGAATTAGGATTTGATTATTGTTAGACGTGGGTTAGTAGGGTTATTGTGTTAGGAGGAATTTTACAATGTTATATAGTATTGGTGCTATAGATTTTTCCCTTTATGGTACAACTTGAAGTTGTACCTTTAACGTTATGGTACAACTTCAGATTGTACCTATACTCTTTTGTCAAATTGTTTTATGGTACAACTTAAACTTGTACTTTCATTTGATGGTACAAGTTTAAGTTATAAAGTTGTACCATAACATAAGAGCACAAATTCCTTTATGGTACAACCTGAACTTATACATTTAACGTTGTGGTACAACTTTAAGTTGTACATTAAAGCATCAATACTATATAGCATAGTAGAAGTGCTCATTGTGTTAGTGGTTAACTAAAATTAAAAAGAGGGTTATCGGCTAACTCTCTAGGTTTTAGTTAGATTAGTTATTGGTTTACTATTTAAGAATGTGGTTAAGGTTGAAGAAGGCAGAGAAGAAAAATGTAAAACACGAGAGTCTTGTTGGAGGGTGGCTTTCCTCGAAAAAAGCTTAGGGGTTCCGTTCTCGCCATTAAGGAGAACACTTCTCTTCTTCCAATCTAACTATCTTTCCTTCATTCTTCTTCTTATTCTGGTCTTTCTTTCTAAATCGTATTCGTGCAAAAAGTGCACGTAACATATCCAGATAGCATATACCAACTAATATCAACAATCAACCAACTAGTATTCAATATGGATACTCTTATGTGTTATCTGGATACTAATTATGTGTTGTTTGCATACTATTCTGTGTTGTCTAGATATTAGTTTGTGAATTTGGGATAATAGTTGATTCATGGTGGATATTAGTTAGCAAACCTTGAATACTAGTTTGTGCTCTCTAGATAATTTAATTTAGTACTTGGATACTAGTTCATGTATTTTGGATATCAGTTAGTATCTGCTAACGAATCTTCAAGTTAACAGATTAACTTTCCCCCAGCTACAGAGGTGGAACTTCACTGGATATTAAATTGTGGACTCGGCTCCCGGGAGTAGTTAGCCTTAAGCCCATCAAAAGAACACAAATTTAGAAACTGATTAGGTGGAAAAAAAACCATAGGTAGGGGTGGATTTGGTTCGGTTCGGTTATAACCGATTGGTAGGTTACCGGTTAACCGAACCCCATCACCCCTATCGAACACCGACCGACGATAATGTCTCGTTTAACCAATAACCGACTCGTCGGTTATCGATTAGTTGGTCGGTTAGCCGAGATAACCGAAAAAAATTATGGCGGCTCGATTTTAATTGGTTAAAATAATTAAAATCGCCTAAAATGAAAGGTTCTAACCTACATTTCTGCATCTAAATCACATCCAAAGTAAAGTCTCAATCACTTTTGCATAGAAAACCGAACTACACCCCACCCATAGGGATACTTTCATAGTTTGGACTTTGGACTTTGGATCACTTCTTCGATGGTCTTCTTACAATACAAAAATATATAGCTCCCAAAATAAGTTAAGAGAAAAAAATGAGAAAGTTGGAAGCACTTATGGGAGGGAACGGATCAGATCAGTAACCTTATGCTGAGTAACTATGAGTAACCCGTCCACATCAGAATGACATCAACATCCCTCTCTCTTGGAAAGCCTTTAATTTTCCACTCATTAATCTTTGTAGGACGATTTCTCACTCGTTTTAAGTCGAAATTTAATTTTTTGCACAGTTAGATCATATTAATTGTTCTCTTCAAAATGATATCCACTTTGATATATTTTTCGAACAAAAAAATTGAGCCATTTTTTACTAGTCTATACCATATGGTATTGAGTAGTATTGAAATAAGAGCATACCTATGGTTTGAAAAACGTACCATGGTGGTATAAACAAACCAAGACAATAGGATGGTTGAATACATTATAGTAGAAGTATATTAACTGTCATTTACGACTTTTAACATTGTGTACCACAAGATACCACCCCGTACCAAGGTGGTATTGTGTGGTATTTTTTGGACCTGTAATTTGTTCACCCAGAAATTTGTAGATCCAATAGATCATGATGAACTCGTTCCTTCTGTGCAAACATTTTCAAAAACGAATTAAAAATGAAGAAGATACCATATGGTATGCAGTTGGTACCGAGAGGCAAGAAAAAAAAATTTCTCAAAAAAATATTGAAAATGAATCTCATTTTGTAGAGCACAGCGAACTCGTTCCATTTGTGCAAAAAAAAAAACGAGTTAAAACGAAGAAGATATGAGCCGATTAAGAAAGTTAGGGAAAATAAAAATAGTCTTTAATTCTCCATCTTTAGATCTGGATTTTCTAAATGAAGGGTCCAAATTTAGTTATTGATGGCTTCATAACTAGGGCTGTCATTTCGGTTGCCGGTTAGCGGCTAACCGACCGGTCTAACCGTTAACCGCGGTTAGCGCCTAACCGGAAACCGAAAAAGCAGAGGGGCGGTCGGTTGACAGAAGGGATCAGTGGTCAGGCGGTTAGCCGAGAAACCAAAGTCGGTTGACCGGCTAACCGACGCTAACCGACCGAGATGAAACGACGTCGTTTGGCCTACTCTTAAATACACCAATTCCCCCCCGCCCCCCAACCCTAGCACTGCTGGCCTTCGTTCTCCGTCAACCCTCACACACTCTGCCTCTGCCCGCCGCCTCACCTCGCCGACATCCGCCTCCCCGGCCCCCGCCGCGCCTTATCGCCCGTCACCCGCCTCGCCGCCTCCACAGTCAAGGTCAAGGAGAATCAAATCGGCACACCCCCCCCCCCCCCCCCGGCCGCAGCGGTGCCGCCTCCCCTGCGCCCGCGAACGGAAAGAGTACTGATACTCCAGCCATTTCTTTTACTAGAGGGAACAGATCTCCATCCCCAGCGGTAATTCAGCTCTCTCATACATTTTCTAATTTTAGCTTTTCCTTGCCCCTGAAGCTCGCTTGACCCTAAGAATACTATTGAAATCCGGTTGAAATTGCTCCTGAGCAGGTTTTCCTCCTATGATTTTGAGCTTCCATCTTATTCTTTATATTTGACTTTCATTATCTTCTATACCTGATGAAAGCTGATTTCGATTTGTATTTTTGCATTAGTTAGGTCGAAACTTTGTAGAGCACTCCACACCTCGGCGTCCCCCACCGCCTCCCCCGCGCCCCGCCGCCTCCTCCACTGCTCGGCGCCAGACAGAATAAGGAAGGAGAGAAGCTCGGTCTGGGAGAAGCTCTTCTTCTTGATTCTGGGCCAGACCGCCAGAAGCAGAATCATCACTCAAATTTTAGGCGATTTTAGGTTTTCTTCCCTTGCTGTCCGGTCGGTTTTGGCCGGTTACAGGTCGGTTAGGTGGCTCCAACCGAACCAGCCTTCAAATTTCGGTTGCCCTGGTTAAACCACGTAGAAATTGAAAATCGGTCAGTCCATTTGCGGCTAACCGAGGGTGGTTGGACGGTCCGTCGACGACAACAGTTGATCGTGTCTTGGTTTAGCCGAAAACCGAGATTTCGGTTTTCGGTTAAACTGAAACCGACCGACTGCCACCCCTATTCATAACCCATGGTTATGCACCCTATCTTGAGCCCTTATGGACTATGGCAATGGGCGGGTAGTTCAATATTTAGGAAAGGGTTAGCATGTCTACTAGTTTTTTGGTTGTCAGTTTAACTCGGTCATCCTAGGTCCAATTCCAATATGAGAGCCCATTTTGCGAAGAGTAATTGGGGGAATGATCTACGTGATCAATTTCTAATTGACGTCATTAATCGAGCTAAATCATGTGAGAGAATGATGTCTTTCCTTTTCGTTATTCCACCATTCCCCCTTCTTCTCTCCGTTTTTTTCTTATCAGGGTAGCTTGCTGTTTTTTTTTTATTTGTTGTTGTCATCTTCATTTTTCCTCTCTGTCGCGTTTCGCACAGGTTCTTCGTTGTCATCCAATTTTCCTCTCACACTTCAGTCGACGCACTAGTGAGGGTTTCGTCCTCTCCATCTCTTTTCCTCGCAATTCATCCTCGGGAGGTTTGCTCTTCCTCTCCAGCTTCAGTTGATGCATCGACAATGTTTTCTTGCTTTAAGTATCATTTTGCAGTCGTTCTTCCTCTATCTTTTGCTCTTCGTCTCCAACTCGGCTCAGAGAAGTCGACGTCGTTCTTTACTCGGGTTTTCCTCTCCGACTTGCTGGCGAGAAACTCTTCAAAGATTGGTCCTCTGCATTTCTTTCTGCGTTAATTTTTTTATAGTTGTTAATAGAGCGCACTAGGCGAATTAAAAAATTGTGGGTGCATGAAGGTCTGAGTGTGTTTTCTCTTCTTGTCGTGGAATGGCATTGCTCTTGCATGTCTCTTTTCGCTGAAATCGGTTTGGTCTTATGGATTTGAAAGCCCAAAATTGTATATATTTTAGGATAGGTTTGTCTATAGTCTTTTTGTGTGGAATGACATTGATTGTTGCCAAAGGCTATGGAGAGCAATGATTGTGTCACTCCTTGCCATATTAAATAAATAGATAGGTAAGTTATATATATAATAGCCATATATAATAGCCAACAATGACTAAGAGAAATAAATAATAGCTAGAGAATTGAATACTAGCATAGGGCACATGGTCTGCAGATGATAATATTGGTGTGTGTGATATGTAATGAGGAATGGTGAATTAATTTTATTGTCTCCAATTGCAGTCTTCAATTTTGTGGTAGATAGCCGGAGTTGGTTGATGCAGTTGTGGTAGTATTGATGATTTCCTACACTCCCCCTCAAGCGAAGACATGAATGTAAAGACTATCGAGCTTGAAAGCGATAGAGGAATGACATCTTGGATAAGGTTGATTTGAAGACTGCTGACTGCTTCTCTCTGAACAACATGATATGTATTCCGACACATTTGACATTGTGATCAATCTGATGACTGAACTAGTCGACAGGATGATTGAATCGGTCGACTGATTTGTGTTGATTATGTTGATTCCCTATTCTCCCCCTCAAGGTGGAGCATGAACATCGTGAATGCCCAGGTTGAAAGGTCATGAATAATTGGTCTTAGTAAAATAATAAACACCGAGAGGTCTATCTTTTCTTGGACTGTCTGCCCTTTTGACACCAAGGGGGTGATCTCTTCTTGGATCGTACTACCGTCTAAAAATTTTATGGGAATGATCTGATCGATAGTGCCTCGTGAAGTGAGGCCTATCTTTTCTTGGGTTGTGTTTGACTTTTGGACGCCGAGGAGCCGATCTCTTCTTGGATCGTACAACCATCTAAAAACATCAAGGTAACAACCTGATCGGAAAACATCGCACAGTGGCTTGACTTTCTTTGCTGGTAGAAACTGTCATTTACCCCAACAATGGCCAGTGAAGGGACGACCAACTCTCGGGTCATGATGATCTTCACTACTTTGATGTTGATTGGTGATGATTTGCTTTCTCGTTTGCAAATGAAACTTGCCATAACCTGAAAATGGGACTTTATAACCATAGGGAAGACGAATTATAACCAACTTGACTCGAGTTGGGTTTTGGGGAAAAGGAATTCTCTTTCCCGACCGCGGTTTATGATCAAACTGGTTGTCTTCTTTTCGGCGCGACCATTCTGCTAGCCCAATTAAAACATAACAATTTTTATTGGTGGTAGGTTGGTGCAATTTCAAAACCAAATACCGAAAGCACGGCCCCGAAAACAATAGATGGGCTGAAGGCAAGCCCAACTTGGGTTTGGTAGCCCCTTCTGCCGGCTTTAGGGCTTGAGAATCCTCGACTAATCCACATAATAGAGAATCACTCCTATGGCCTCTCATCTTATTCCCGGAGACAGAGAGATGACGGCTATGATGTTGAACTCAGATGACTGGCGGAGCGGCGGGATGCTAAGGTTGTCAACCGCTTGACCAGATCAGGTTAGAACCCAAGGACCACGCCATTGTAGTTCGCCAATAGCACCTGACAAGAAAACCTTGTCGATCTTGAGGCCAACAAGGATGAGGAGGAAGAACTCCTTAACTTGACAATGGTGGAAGCATTTGATTGAAGAGGAGCAGCCTGGAGAATGCTCGCTAATGATTGGAAATGAAGAAAAACATATGAATGGAAGGTATAAAAAAAGGTAATAACACTCTCAATCAATTCGTTTCTTTCTTTTCTTCTTTGGCTTTCCTTCACTGACATCGGATTCCAGCTCTTATACCATTTTAAATTTGCTCAAGTTTGATGATTTTATTGATGCAAAACTTGATTGTTACAGGAGGCTAGTAAGCCTTTTATACAGGGAAATGAAAGCTAGAGAATTTAACCTAAGCTAGAGAATTGAATACTAGCATAGGTCACATGGTCTGCAGATGATAACATCGGTGTGTGATCTGTAATAAGGAATGGCGAATTAATTGTATTGTCTCCTCTTTAATGTTGTGGTAGATAGCTGGAGTTTGTTGATGCAATTGTTGTAGTATTGATGATTTCCTACATTCCCTGAATTCCAATATCAGGGGAAAATTCAAAAGAATTAAATTTCTCGTGTACTAAACAGAAAGAGACAAGAAGGAATTGGAGTGACGTCGTTTCTGGACCGGCTTGAAGCTCCCATGGGAATGACAGCGCATCTGGTGCGACTTGAAGAACAAAACGGAACGGCAACGTACTAAGAACATGTTGTCATTTTTCACTTTTAGTCCAAATGTTATGTTTTTACACACTTTTCTGTTTATGGTATGTACTTGCTTCTGAAGCAAGGTTGTCTTGTACTGGTACTTTGATCCACCTATATAAGCTTCCAAACTAATGAGATGAGACAAGGTTTTCAGTTCTATAATCACAAATTGTTGTTATGGTATTAGAGCCTGATTGCTGGAAACCGTAGCCACCACTATCAACCATGGCTCAAGTTGCTGAAGCAGCAACAGCATCCACAACTGCAACGAATCCAGACCTTATGGCATATCCATTATACCTCCATGGATCCGAACAACCTGGACTCTTTCTTGTTGCAGAGAAGCTCACCACCACCAACTACAATGACTGGAGTAAAGCAATGCACAACGCTCTTGAAGCCTTCCAAATATACAATCTTTCATCCAATGTCTTGCCCTTGTAGACATACCTAATTTCATGTGGTAGAGGACCCTAGACTCGAATCTCATACATGCTTCTCGAATTGAGCTCTAAAGTAGGCTTCACAAACACGTTCCCAGACTTAGCCATTTTCAGGCAGTTTCCCAGTTTTGGCATAGCCTTTTGATATTTGATCAGGTTCACAAATGGTCTTCTGGACTTCCTATCGAGCTTCCAAGCACTTTAATGTGTAGAGGAATACCCCAGCTTCAAAACAAGCCATTAATGTCCAATTTCCATCGAGCCAATTGTATGATATGAATCTCCAAAATAGGCACCATGAAGCTGTTTTTACACTGAAACAACATGTTAAGTCCACCTAATCCTAACCATGGATTACGAAACTGTACCAGACATCAAACCGGAATCGTCTTTGGCATGGTAAATCATGGCACAACCATGGTTCAACCGTTTCCTACCGGTAAATACCATTTTTGGAATAAATAATTTATTTTTTGTTAAAAAACCGTACCGGCAAAATTAGGGTACCATATTGGAATAAAACTGGATTATACCGCCTAAGAAACTGTAAAAGAGTAAATAAGCTTAGGTAACATTCAACAAAGTGCGAGATTTCAATACCTAATAAACCTCATAATCATCCAAATACATTTTTAGAAACTAGTACAAAACAACCAAGCAAAGTTCACAAACCACAAGCTTAATGTTCACAAACCACAAGTTCAATGTCTCAAATTATAAAGTAGAAACTACTAATTGGATCTTTAGTTTGAAATCAAATCCATATCTTCAAGCAACTCCAAATGTAGAAAAGTCAACATTCGGGAACTCGTCTCCTTCATCTTCTTCATCACTAACTACAATACAAAAAAAAAACAAATAAGAAGCATTATAAATTATGACGTATTAGAATTGACATCATAATAACTAATTCACACACCTTCCTCTGCAAGTGCTCGATCGAGCTCATCAATATCAATTCCTTGTCTTTAGAAGATGCCCCTTCATTCTCTTCTATCAACCACTCAGTAGTAATATCATAATGAATGCTTTCAAGAGATATGGGATCATATGATTCTTTATTCTTCATGGCATAATACTCTCTAGTCAAAGTGGAAATGCATATATTGATTCAGTTCAATAGTAAATATAAAAACTACAAAAAGTAATAATTCACAAGTTTATTCATACATATTCTGCAGTCGCAAGTTGTAATTCACAAACACCAAATCACTAAGCATTTTGTGCTGCAATTTGTTTCTTCTTTTGGTGTGCACACGTTCAAATACACTCCAATTACGTTCACAGCCAGAAGAAGAAGCAGTTTGGCTAAGAATGCGAATAGCCAACTTTTGCAGATTCGGAGCATCAATACCAAACCATTTCCACCACTTATCTGCATATTAAGCATACATTAGTATCTTATTTCTTAATAAAAAGAACTAATATTAATGTACATAAATTCAATTACCTGGTTGTAGCTATTGTGCAGAATCAATTGCTTGCTTCCTCCCAAAATTACCTTTTCGTTCAGAATACAAAGTCAGCTCCTCAAGCACCACATTTGTATCAGGACATAAGGATTGGTTCTCAAGAAGATCAAGAATGCCATTTCTAATAGGCCTTGTATCTTCAAAATCCTTGGCATACTTGAAAGCCGGATTAAGGAAGTATGCTGCCACAAACAAATCACGCTCAAATGTTTATCCCACCTCTTGTTAATGAGGTCTATGTAAGGCTTGTACTGCTCCACCTTATCTCCACAAATAGCCTTCAGAGCTTTTGACACTCTAATCATCCCATCATGTAAATACCCCATAGATGGTTTACTATCTGAATCCACAATGCGAAGTAACTTCACCATTGGCATTGTCAACTTAACTATGAAGTCACAATCCACCCAAAATTGTTGATCCAGTACAATAGACTTCACATCCTTTCCAACCTGCATTTTCGAGAACTCACTATCTTGAAAGAATTGACTGATCACTAGAGCCTCCAAGTCATTCATATGCTCAAAAATACTTTGCAAACTCATAAATGTAGTTGCAAATCTTGTAGCTCCAGGCCTCACTATTTCTTTCCAATTATCTCTTGTCTTCAACCAGTAAAAAAGTGGGCCATGATTATAAACAAATTTAGAGATTTTGGTTGCTCGATATGCAAGAGTCTTAACATGAGGCAACCCTCCAATGTCTTGCAGAAGTAAATTCAGGGTATGGGCAACACAAAGGAGTCCAACATATATTACCATAATGGTCATGAATCATCTTCCCTGCATATCTATAATTAGATGCATTA